TTTCTGACCTAGCTAGTCATGAAGTTGTTTCCTTATTAAAAAAAAAAAAAAAATTTTAAAGGATAAAATTCGTTAATATAATGGCATAGTGCCTGGTATCATGTAAGTGCTACATGTGTTTGTAGCAGCTATTGTTGTTATTGTTGCTGTTGTGTTATTGTTGTTGTGTAACTGCTGATAAAGTGATGGACTGAAACACACATTGATCTTAAAGTTCCCAGCACCTCCAGCATTTGTGTTTTAACAAGCCCTCCAGGTGATTCTGATGCACACTAAAGTTTTAAACCTCTGGGCTAGAGGGGTGAACAATAGTTCCCATTTTTAAAAAGTGCTGATACCCTTAACTAGATGAAAAAAAAATGTACAGACTCAGTTATTATAAGAGAAAGGAAAATTAAAATTATATTAAGATATCATTTCTCATTATCCAATTGGCAAAAATCCAAAAATTTGATGACGAATTCTATTGGTGAATCTGTGGGGGAAATAGCATTCTTGTACATTGCTGGTGGAAATGCAAAAGGTTACATTTGGCAATATTCAGCCAAATTACATATTTAGTCACCTTTTAAGCCATAATCCCACATCTAGGAGTCTATTCTAAAGGGATGCTGGCAAAATATGAAAGGAAAAAAATTAATGAATGAGACTATTCACTGCAGCATTATCTATAAAAGTAAAAGATTAGAAACCACTCAAACATCAAGAGAGGACTGGTTGAATAAACTATGGTACATCTATACAGAGGAGTACTAGGCATCTATGAAAAGGAATGAAGAAGGTCTCTATCTTCTATTGTGATCTCTAAGATACCAGGTTAAGTGAAGAAAGCAAGTGGGAAAAAGCGGTATTTTACCATTTATCTAAAAGAGAGAAACAATAGGCCTATTGTTTTTTTAATAACACACAATACAGGATATGTTGGACTCTTTATGCCCTATCTTACATTTTCACAGTCCATGTGTTAGCTCCATGCAGCCACTGCTGCAGCAACCATCTGTGCACAGCTGTAGCCTGTCACAAGCTGCATTTTCCTCTGAAATGTGTTGGCCACTGCTGACAACCACTGTGGTTCATCAGCACACTTGGAAGTTCCAGGGGAGTTAACACCCCCAGGGCAATCCTTGACCAACAGGGGACAAGAGCACAGGAGCCGTGGATCACTACTCCCATCCTCCACGTCTTGAGCAGACAATTCCGAGGCACATTCTACACAGTTCCTCAGAAGGTTTTTGGTGGCTTAAGCCCCAGCTACCCGTTGTAGTTATCAGCTCAATAACACATTCTTAGACTGATCTTCTTACTTGTTTCTCTCTTCCTTTATCTCTCGTTATCGTCTCCTGGGGTCACCTCCAAAAATTAATTACCTGCACATGGTCATGTCTCATAGTCTGCTGTGTGGAAAAACACAAACTAAGGCAAATAATAAACTATTTTTAAAATGTTAATAATTACTTATAGGAACGGGAGAGAATAAGGTGGAGAGAATAGGAATAGAAACTAGATTTTATGAATATACCTTACATTTTAGATTTGACTTTTGATACATTTAAGTATTTTACATAATTATAGAACAAGTTCAACTTCAAAAAGTCATCCATAAAATCGAAAGTAAAATGAAACAAAAGCCTAAATGTGTATAATGTTGGAGGCATAATCACACAGAGAACTACTCTAAGTGACTTTAAAACACAACTTAACTCCGTATTCCTAGTGCAATCAACCCTAAAAACAAAAAGAATGGGAAAATAATTTTAAGCTGTTTTCAGTAGTCATATTTTTAGTGGTAGGGTTACTGTTGCTATTCTGAGGCTATTGTATGTGTAATATAGAAGAAATCAATGAGAATTATATTGATGTCGTTGAGAGCCTGTATTTACAACACGAATGAAAGGAGATACAGATATAAGATTGATGAGATTGTTTTTAATCCATAATGTTTCATAAAGAAGACAATAAACACCCTCATAGTATATTTAATGTTTAAAAATACATATTTTCTAGCTCCATTCTTTTATAAGAACTAGAAACAATGATTAAAATGATTAGAAACAATGACCAGAAACAGTATTAGTGAAAATCATAGCACCCAAATTATGGCCAATTAAAACCATCTCCCACTTGAAAAAAAATGTCTCCTTGGAGAAATGTCTGATTCCAGGTTAGGGCAAGAAATATACAAGATGAGCCTGGAACATTTTGTCATACCAGAAAGGAAAGAAGCTATCAAAGACCATTAGGCTGGGCTTCCCTGGTGGCACAGTCGTTAAGAATCCACCTGCCAATGCAAGGGACATGGGTTTGAGCCCTGGTCCGGGAAGATCCCATATGCCGCGGAGCAACTAAGCCCATGCGCCACAGCTACTGAGCCTGCGCTCTACAGCCCACGAGCTACAACTACAGAAGCCCACACACCTAGAGCCCGTGCTCCGCAACAAGAGAAGCCACCAAAATGAGAAGCCTGCGCACCACAACAAAGAGTAGCCCCCACTCGCCACAACTAGAGAAAAGTCTGTGAGCAGCAACAAAGACCCAATGCAGCCAAAAATAAATAAATAAAATAATTTTTTTTTAAAGACCATTAGGCTGTGTCAAAGGGTCTTGAGAGGCCACTTGAATAAGTTTCTCCTAGTCAGCCAATGAAGAGATGGTATGAACACCAATAAGGAGATGCTTAGCACTGCAATGGCTTGAAATGCAGCAAATATGTTTACAAACTGCAAATTGGTAAATAAAGCGAAAATATATGGTATTTTGCTGCCTTTTCTATGGGACTGTACAGTTTAATAGACAGTTCATGAGAGGAAATTTCTCTCCATAGAAATATTCTAATTTAATAAACAAGAAATGATCGAAGTACAGTATCACCATTTTGCAACCCCTGGTAAATTAATGAATCCAATCAATGATTATCAACAGTTGTAGCATCACAAAGGAATAGACAATTAGATACCATGTACCTCCTGATGGACCAGTTATGAATAGCCTTGGAAAAATCAAACCTGAATCTAACCAAACCTCTAGATTTATCTACCAAGTTATAGACACCACAGGGAGACAAGCAGCAAAATTCAGACTGCGGGAAACTCTAGAAGACCAAAGGCTCAGCTTCTTCAACAAGTAAACTTTAAAGAAGAAAAAGTAAAGGACCCTACAGATGAAAAGATACTTAAGAGACATACAAGCAAGAGCAACTGTGGACCTCATTTGGATCCCAGTTAGGCTTGGTGTGCGCATCAGAGACAGATCTCTGCTTTGACCATGTTCCCTGGTCCAATGGAGATCACACTTCCCCATCCTAGGGGATCAATGGAGCCTACTGGGGGGAGATCCTGGAAAGAGGTCCATGGCCAGTATTTGAGCATCCTGGCCCTTTAATCCACCATCCCTCCCCCCACCACACCCTCCAGCCCCTCCCACTGCTCATGACATCAGTGCTGAATTCTGTGTCTGCTCTTTGGCCTTCATTCCATGCTGTTCTTCACTCCCCTGCTTACCAACTTCATTGTCCATTGTCCTGTTTTTGACTGCATCCATCCATCCAGAGGTGATGCTCTACACTACCCGCCCACTAAGTCCTGGGCTCGCCACTGCACCCCTCATCCAGGGTCTCCCTCCAGCCATGCTGCCTTAAGTAAATAGCACTCCACTGCCCACCGACTCCGAATCTCCAAACTCCATATTTCACTTATCAGCTCATTAGGCCCATCAGCGCCACCCAGACAGTAGTGCACATGCTCCCCTGACTGCACCCACCCACTTTCCACTCAGCCGTCTTTCAGGGTCTTTCAGAGTATCCGAGTGAGAGCTGTCTGCTTTTGCTGATGGCTGTTAGTCATGGGTCTCCAAGGGAGCCTCCTTCCAAGAAGTCTAACAGATAAAATCTCCACACTCCCCCTGTTAGGGTAGGCCATGAGGCCTGGCCCATCAGAAGTCAGGAATGGGAGGGACAGTGGTTTCCCACTCACATTTACAGAGGCCTGGACAGAGTTCTAACAGTTCCCCTGAGTTATTTCCCAATCCGGTTAGCTGTCTTGGTGGGGGTCGGAGCAGCGATATGGGCCTCTAACCCTTTGCAGGACTTGGGACAGAGGCTCTGGGGCTGGGATAGCAACTCAACTCAGGGGTATTAACATCAGATGGGTCATCCAGCCCCAGAAGGGGAAGTGCACTTTAAGACTTAAAGGGCCTCTTCAGGGCTAACCAAAGAGACAGCCAGCCCCTGGCTAAAATAAGCAACTGTGTGGGCCAGATGCCTTGTACTCATGCTTTCTGTTTCTCACTTTTAAAGAGTAAAAGATGAAAAGTAGCTGAATAATTTATATTAGGAAATATGATAAGGCAGGCCAGAGTGAAAGGAAATAAAAGTGAAGGCGTTCTTCTGGGAGAAAAACATGAATATAAACAAAGCAACAGAAAAATCAAGTCAGCTTTCAAAGCCAGCTGGGGTTGTTAGAAAGTTTGTTCTTGCCCTGGGTTCACACCCCTCCTCCTGCAATTATATTCCTCTGCACAGCTTCTGTCTTTTGAATGGTGTATAATCCTGACAATGCTGAAAAAAAGCATTTCTGTCCCCATTTTACTGATTAAGTCTCAAAGCTTGAGGAGGTCACGTGGCTTGCCTGTTGCCACCCAACGAAATGGGAAGGAACCAGGATGTGAGCCCAAGTCTGTCAGATTCTAAATCTTGCTCTCTTTATCCAACTCTCTGCTGCATTGGGTCCAATGCCTACTTCTTTCTTCCCATGGGCGCCCTTCACAGTTCCTAAAACATCGCTGGGCTCCCCGCCTTTTCCCTGCTCCCAGACCCACGCTCTGCCGCCCACCAGCCCCAGTCCCTTCATCAGTCAGCGTGACATGGTTTCAAATCTCTGCATCTTTCTTCCCTGAATATGTTCCAATTTGCCCAAATCCCCTTAAACATGTGAGGCCCAGAGGTGGACACCGATTTTCAGATCTGGACTGAGGGGTTGACCAAAGCAAAGCCGGCAGGGATTTACCTCTCGCTTTGATGAGGAATCAAAGCTGACGGGAGCACAGCTTAGGATGGATTCATTAGCTCTGCCGACAGCCGTGGCACAGAGCTGGCCCGTAATGGGTGCTCACTCGGCTAAAGCTCCCCGGAGATTTGGACCCCGGCCTCTGCTAAGCCAGCTCTCCTCTTCCTACACTTGAGCAGTTTGTTGTTTTGAACCTCAATTCAGAATTTTCTCACTATTGATTTCAATTCCTTTCAACGCACACCCACTGAACAAGGCACAAGGGCCGGTTGCCTGGGAGCCCAGTTAACAAGGCACTATTGATCTCCACGCAACTGTTTCCCAGCCTAGCGCGGCTCAGAGCCCCTCGGGGCACCCCTCCCCCTCTACATCACCCCTAAGGGGGGCCTGGGACACCCTGCCCTCTGTCCACCTCCCAGCCTTCCTCAAGAGCAGAGCCACACCTTGCAAACCGCCGGGCCTCTGGAGCAGTTTCTGTGTTGACCATCGTCACGCCGAGCAGGGTGCTTCTGTTAGTGAGTGAATAGCTGCCAAGAACATTTCAAGAGATGATTTACTCCTTTTCTGAGGGTTCTTTACACCAGAGCTCTCTGTTCCCGTCAGAGCCTGTGCCTCCCATGGAAAACCTGTCACCATTTGTGATGTGAGAGAAGCCTGTTTGCCTGAAGGAAGAAACTGCATATATATTTTTCCACACAGGGAATAACGCCATGTTTTCTCACTTGCCTAGGGTATGTTCTCCTGGCCTAGAAATGGACGTGAAAGTATTGGGGGCATAAGCTGACCCAGGCCTGGATCCTGCCCAGGTGAGAGGTTCTCCATAGTTTGAGGTGCTGTTTCATGGTACCTATACCCTCTGGCCAGCTGACAGCGCCTGGGCTGAGTTATGAAATATTTAACTCTTTAAGGCCAGGCAACCATAGTAAAAATTCTATTCCTTTCCAATTAATCAACACAAAGCTTGAGTTTTGGCTAAAATGACTTGAGACTTGGTTTGGTATATAGCACGGCTACATATGGTGCTGTGACAGAGCTCTGAGCTGGGAGCCAGAAGACCTCAGTCTGGGTTCAAGCTCTAGCACTAATTGACTAGGTAACCTTGGGCAAATTGTTTCCACTCTCTGGGCCCCAGTTTCCTCATCTGCCACAGTAAGAGGATTAACACACAGGCTCCCCAAAGGCATTTCAGACTGTGACATTATATAGTATTATGGGTTATAAGCATGGCTACAGAGCCAGAGTGCCTGGGTTTATACCCCAGCTCTGCCATTTACCAGCTGCATGACCTGAGGCAAGTTATTTAAGTTCTCTAAGCTTCAGTTTCCTCTTCTGTAAAATGGGTATAACGCCAGCACTTATAGGATTCTTACGGGGATGCAATGAGCACGTAAAGAGCTCGGAACGGTGCCTGGCACACAGTGAATTCCCAATAGCTGGTGGTGGTGTTCTTGTTGTTGCTTTTATTCCTAATTAGCAACCTGACCCTAGCCCCAACTATCAATAGTAAGATAAGCTGTTTTTGAGACAGTCAAGGACATGAAGGCTTTGTGCCTCCAAACGTTCCTCTGGCAGAGGTTATCTGCAGTTTGAGGTCCAGCACAGCACAAATGGGGGAGGCACCCATGTTCCCCCAGGAGCCCCAGAAGGGACAGGGACTTTGATTCAGAGTGGCTGTTTGGTCTTGATAGTTTGTGCAAACACCTGAAACTCTTTTGTAGGCAGGACCCAGGAGAGCTCTCCTTCCTGGGATACAGCCCACACTCCCAGCCCCTCTGAGTGACCCAGCAAGGGTGAGGGAGAGGCCAGGAGGCTCTGAGGCATTGACAGGGATGCCTTCCAGTCTGTGCCAGTGGGGCAGCTCCTGGGTGTGCGGCCCCTCCTTGCTCCCTGCCTCACCAGGCTCTCTGCCAGAAGGTGAGCCGTCTCCGGGAAGGGCCCTTCTTCCCCTGGGAAAAGCCCATCGAGATGTCAGTGAAAAAAAGTGAAGAGCTGTCATGCTTCTGGCATTGCTGACCAATTGGACTTTGAACACGAAGGGAAGAAATTAAAATTCCTGATGGCCTTTTCGTGAGGCTTAGCACTGCTCACTGTGATGGTTCCAGGACACGGCTTAGATGGCTTTACAGGCACTGCTTCTTTGCTCTTGCTAATTTACCTTGTACCTAAAACAGCTTGAGGTGGGCCCATAAACGGCAATTCTGTTTTCCCAGACTGAGATCTCAATGCATTGAGTAGCGAGACAAAAGTTGGAACTTTATTACTGAAAAGGCTGATACAGAAGGATATGGCTGAGGTACACGGCAAAGGACTTTCTCATACTGAAGCCCAGAAGTGAATGGACAGTAGCACTGACCAACCACAGCCCCTCACACTGACGCCTGCCCTGGTTACGCTTCCTAGTCAGCTCACCCCGAGGAAGAAAGGGGCCGAGCTGCACGTGCCCTTTCCCGTGTCCCAAACACACCTGTCAGGGAAGAAGCCAGGAGGGTTGTACTAACTTGTCCTCCACATGGAAGGGAACATCAAAAAAGGGCAATAAAAACTGAAATGAGCATAGAAATTTCAAAAAAAAAAAAAAACAATGGGGAATAAAAACAGAAATGAGCATAGAAATTTCAAAAAAAACCCAATGGGGAATAAGAGTTTCCTCTAACGGCCTCCCACCTGCTTTGCCAAACCCTACCCAGCCTTCCACACTCAGCCCCTGAATCTTCTTTTGTGACTCTGGTCCACGTCACTGGCTTGCATTCCACTGAAGTGTTAAGATCTTCAAGGGCCAGAAGAGTCTTCTCCATCTACACAGTGGCTCGGAGTGTAGGCTATGTGACTCTGCATTTACTAGCTGTGTGGCTTCGTACAAGTTGCTTAACCTCTGTCTGTGGGCCTTCATTTCCTTTTCTGTAAATGGTGCCGTAATAGTGCCTACCGCATAGGGTGTTGTAAAGATTATCGAGGTAGTTGTTGGAACGGTGCCGGGGCTATAGTTTCGATGAGGATGGTGGTAGTGGTGGTCGTGGTGGTGGTGATCCTCTGTGTTGCCAATATTTGGCAAAGGCTCATTTATAGAATGGGATAAAATAGAACAAAAGGGACTGCTCTGCCCTGTCTCCTTCACTGGACCAGCCTGGTTCCCACAGGTTCTCTGGCAGCCTCCCGCCCCTCATCTGCCCCCTTCCCTGGTGGCAGGCCAGGCCAGGCCAGGGCCCCAGGCCTCACAAGGACTCGAGTATCCCAGGGACCAGCAGCCACAGCAAATAAAGATGAGGACATCTCAAAGGATATTGCCCCTGACCTGCTGGTCCAGCTCCCCTGGACCAGAATATGTAACTCAAACAAAAGAAATGAGAGATGAGCCTTGAGATCCCTGTTGCCTATGAGTAATGACATGAGCCACGACAGAGACCTGGAACACCTGTTCGCAGGTCCCAAAGTCTGCTCCCTGCTGGGAAGCCCCAGGGCCCCAGAGTGGGATAGCTGAAAACCAACCTCCTCACTGAGCTCGAGGGATGGGGACCTTGGAGAGCCTCCTATAAAAACAGCTGTAGTGGCAGCACATTTTCCTGACGGAGCCCATGAAGTTGATTTCCACAACGGGAAAGCCAGTAACCTGGGGACCGAAGTTAAAACCCAGGCTGGCCTGGTCCAGCTCTAGCCCCAGCCCCAGACCAACCCAGCCTTGGACTTAGCCCAAGCCTGAGGCTTCTCAACCAGGCCCAGCACCAAAGTCCCTCCCTCCCAAGCTCAGGCAGACTCCTGGGCCTGAGGGGTGGGTTCGTACCTCTGGGTCTCACAAGCCCAGAATCACCAGATGATTAAATTTGCCTTTTATTGTGGCCCTGAGGGTTATAAACAAGCAGGACCAACATGTGGGTCATTCCTGATATTCCTGCTTCATTGCTTTTAAGGGCCCCTTGGTGGTAAAGAATTTCAAAGCTGCTAACTCCATAGTATATTAAAGTGGAATAAATTCCTCTGAATGGTCCTCAGGTGAGACCCAGTGTTTAGCAAATGCCTCTCAGCTTCCTCTTGAAGTACACAAGACTGACCTCTGGTGGTCTCTTAGACCAGCTGAAGCACGGCCTTTCCCCATGTCCATTTTTGAGACTCTTCCCTGTCTGACTCTGGCTCCCTCTCGCTCTCTGTCTCTCTCTCTCTCTCTGTTCCGGTCTTTCTCTCTTTCTGTGTATATCTGTATATATGTGTCTTTCTCTCTGTGTCTCCCTCTCTTCTCCCCATGAGGCTCCCAACCCCTTAGAAATGTAGGTGTAATAGGATTTTAGAATGAGACTCTTGCCTTAGTTTCAACGGAGGCAGCAATATGTGATAAAGCAAATAGGGAGATACCAGATACCAAAATGAATATAAAATCGAACTCTCCAAATATGCAAATTTACTAAGGAAATAGTCTCCAGAATTTTTTCCATAACCTTTTAGAGCCCCTTAGTCAGTTTCAAAAGGAGGTTGTCACTAACCTTTCCAGCTTCCTTTGCATTACATGCCCACTCTCCCTGTGTTGTATTGCTGGCGAACTGCTCACCAGTGTGCCCCAGCAGGCTGGAGGCTGTCAGGCCTCTCTGCCTGGGTTTATCCTGCCTTTTCTCCTTAGAATACCTTCCCCTGTCTAGCTTCTCATATTCCTGTTTATCCTTCAAAGCCAATCTCAAATGCCTGTCCTTCCTAAAGCCATCCCTGGTCCCCCAGGGATGAACCGTCCTCTGGGCTCCCACCTGGGCTTTTACCATAGCTCTCAGTTCTTCGCACCTGGTATCAGAGACTTGTGTGTGCACACCTGTCTCCCCTACCAGCCTCTGAAAACATTAGGGCATCGGCTACATCTGGGTCATGGCTGTCAGAGTGTATGTACATTGGTAAATGCTTGGTGAGTGAGTTAGTGAGTGGATCCTATTGGCAGGGCTCTACATTCTTAAAGCAGAAGGATTGACGGCTCTTAAAAGATTCTCTCAAGGTTTTTGCTAAAAATGTGCAGGCTTTGGCTTTAATTTTTTAATTGAATTTTTAAGGTAATTGTAGAAACACATGCAATTGTAGAAATAATACATAGAGATACTTTGTATACTTTTCCCAGTTTCCCCCATGAGTAAAAAAACATTTTGTTTAGTTTTGCAAAATTATAGCATAATATCACAACTAGCATATTGATATTGATACAA